GCTCGGACCGCGCGGGGAGTGGCGGAAGGAGGTGCGGGTGTCTGCTGAGGTGGCCGCCGAGATCTCTGGGTTTGAGAAGTAACTGGGTACCACCGTGCATTGACATTTGTTGGAACAAATTATATATATGTGTGTGTGTGTGTGTGTGTATACATACATATACACACACACGTACCTCTGTGTGTGTGTATATTAAAAGAAATACAGAAAGAGAGAGTGATGGTAACACCTTGGACAGTCAGGCCAGTATTCTGTCTAATTGCAGCCAGCAGCCAGCAGCTCTATCCCCAATTTAAAATCACGTTTGAAAGGAGAAAGGAAATTAAGTCCACAAAGTATTATTGTCACCTCCTGACGTGCGAATAACCATTTCCAGGGTGTAGCCAGCGACAAGGCACTCCCACACGCCTGACCTGGCAGGAACCACCGCCGCAGAGGTGTCCCCTCGGCGAGGGGACAGTCACCACTTGCACCCATTGCAGTCACTTTTGTCCTTGTCCGTGGCAATGCGTGGAGGACGGGCGTTCGCTTTGCCGGCTGTTGGGGGAGCGTTAGTAACCGCGAGGTGGAGGTGGGCGGCTGCGTCCGCCTGCGACAGCCTTGAGATTGCGACAGCCTTGAGACGCTGGCAGGGGTCGGCAGGGTCACCGGGGCCGAGTTTCTTCTCCATTTGTGCTTGCGCATCCTAATGATCGTTTAGTTGTGGAATTGGTGCCGTAAATGAACGGGTAGTTATTTCATTTAAGACTGAAGGAGAGACTTCAGGCTGTAACTTGACCTGACATCCCACAGAACTTGAGATTTCCACAACGGTTTTGTTGAGGGAGAAAGCGGTTTGATGCGTTTCTCTTCTGTCTCAGCGGTGCAATGAAAAGGGAACTGTTAAATATGTATCTGCTAAATACCAGCTCCGTTACCGATCAAAAAAAGCCCCACTTGTGAAATGTACTGTATCTCAATGTTTTCGTAACCGATACCACTGACAGGGCGGGAGGGCAAAGCAGAGGGCCGAGGGAGCGCGGGTGCTTCTCTCCGGTGGAAGTGGACTCGTCGCTCCCCGTGGGGCAAACTGCCCCGCGCAGACTCTGCTCCGGGGCACCTTCCCCCACAAGTAGCCAGGAGCAGCTTTGCTAATTCAGAAATCAGGCTCTGTTTATATTAAGCCCAAATTGTTTGCAAAAAAAACTGGAAGCAATTCAGCTTGTGCAGTTTTAGAGCTAATTATGTGTATGGAAAATACTCAACTGTACCAAGAATGTAAGAAATCCTCTAATTTATTCAATACATTGTTTCACAACATATTTCACACTGACTGTTGCCACTGAACCAAACCTTATCTCAGGTCATTTGCATTCATCTCCTGTCTGTAGATTAAAAAAAAAAAATAAAATTAAAATCATTCTCATTTTCTTAGTTTATTCAGTAATTGCCAAATGGGTTCTGGTGCAGCAATGCAGACTCCACGTACTAAACTTTTCCAGTTGCTATTTACAAAGCCTTTTGCGGACAAAATCCAACAAAGAGAGCCAGCGAAAGGCTTTTCACTCAAGTTTAATAAGGTAACTAAATATGGCTAGGGTCTGAAATGGAATGGTTTACAGTTTTATTGCCAATTCTTGGTTTTTTTCGGCTCATGCTGGTTAACCCCAATGCCCGAGCTAAAGGTGCTTACACAAATTACTAGTTGGGACGGGGGAATGGGAACCAGTCCTGCACTACTATCAGTGATATATCTGTAGGATGGCAACTATAGACACATCAGTTTTATTTCATCCACCAATCATTTTGTTGTAGCATGTTGCAATTCTGCATGTCTTGGCTACAATGGTTAAAAAAAAATTTTCTCTGAATGAGTGGAAAGTCAAGACTAATATTTATTTTAAAAAAGTAAAACTAAATTGTAAGCACTTTTTTGTAAAACCAATGTCTGTTTTGTTACATACTTTTAATGTTGTGCTTTGTAAATGTCTTATTTGTGTAATAAATAAAGTTAATGCAAGTAGAAGTGCTGGCACTTACATCCAGAAAATGATGTAATTCCATTTTATTTTATTTTTAAATACTTTCTGGCTTACTAATCAAGCAGCAACCCACCCAGTTTTCCTCTTTTATTATTTTGTTAAACTCTGGCTTCAGGAGAGTTCAACAAACGTTCGTAGTAAATGGATATAATTTCCTAGTTAGCAAACCAGTCATTAAAGAATACCTCTGGTGTACATTATTACAATGATCAATCAATATCAAAGTACTGAGCAATAAGAGAGGAAAGGAATTCACCAGGACAGCTAACTAAAATCTGGCAAAATAATGTTGATTAAGATGGATTTGAATGACTTCAACCCCGATTCTGAGGCACTCTTTTTAACAAATTGTTTTCAGGCTTAATAACGTTTATATATACTGCTCTACACACCTCTCAGGAATATTATTGTGAGTACAGTCTGGGTTTTTTCCATGGCTTTTTCTCAGCATGACTGATTAAATGATTATTTCCATTTTTGTTTGTGCTGACAAAGATGACAAAAAGATTATATTCCTGTAGGGGGAAAGGGTGAGACAAATTCCCGAGGACAAATTAGATTTATTGTGAATCAGATTACCTGCTTGGGAATATTACTGTCTAGCAAAAACTGTTTTCACGGTTTGGGTTTTTGTTCAATTGCTTCATCCCAAGCTTTCCGGCAGGCCCGAACAATCCATTCGTGCTCATCGTCATCTAAAAGGGAGATAAAGAGAACGCCAAAGATCACCATGTCAGAGCGGCTCTTTGCCTCACCAGGGTCCAGCTCAAACAAGCAATTTTTCCTTTGAGAAATAAATCCATTTTTAGCCATTGGCATCTCTTAGAACACGTATTTTTGTTTCTTTAAAAGATTATGTGCTGTAGCGTTGGAATTTGTCAGGACAGGAGGTACTGGATCTGTGGCCATGACTGATTGTTCGTCTGTTTGATAAGATTAGCTTGGGCAGAACCGAGGTTTACACGTACAGATATTATTTTTTGACTTTTCTGGCAGGAGATGTGTGGGAGATATGTTGAAACTATCAGAAATGAAGATACTAATTTTTTAGTTGCTGTTTTTGAAATGTACTTTATGACAGGTATCGATAAACTGATATAGTAGCTGATAGACATATTTTAGACCATCTTCTGTGTCTCTTGTTAGTATTCATGTCTGTCATATTTATTCTCAGAGCATAATGGCAGTGTGGAAAGAAAAAAAAAAAAGAATCAAAGACAATATAGGAAAAACCAACTGTCCAGCAAAGTTTGAATAGAAATTTTGTGTAAAATGTAAAGTTGTCGCTTCTTAATTCCAGGGATTTGAACAGTCTTGTCTCCAAAAACTGTTCTGCAGCCTTTTCTTTAGTGTTTGTGTAGGTGAAGAGTGATCTGTCTAGTAGACCAGGAAAAACAAACTTCAAAAGGCCTTGAAAAAAAAAAAATCAAAGTATTACTTAAAACCATACCTGTATTTATTTTTATATAAATGAAATATATCAGAGCTGCTTTTTGTGTTTACCACTGTTTTAACAAACTCATATTAGCTGCTTGTGATGCGTGTTGCTGACCTGACCCTATCTAAATTTTAAGGGGTTTCTGGCAGCCCTTATTACCTGAAAGAACAGACGATTGTGAGAAGGATGGAGGCGAGGGGGCTGCAATCCCGGTCCTGTGACCATCGCTTGGTGCAGCGCACATCCCGTTTATTGACACAGCTGCCCTGCACAGCTGAGCGCCCTGCTTAGACGGGTCAAAACAGACCGAGAAAGAAGCGTGCCGCTTGCAAGGAGCCAAATTCTCGTGGAGATCTTTTGACCGCGGAGTTGTGGCTTTAAGTCAAAGCCACGTAGTAGCAGTTGAAACGCAGAAGGTAGGAAGGTCCTGGGAATGAACTTGTGCTCATCTAGGAAGGGAAAGTTCACAGAAGGGGATGTGACGAACTTTGTCCGATGCACAAGTCTTCGCGCTTGGGGGTTAATCGTATCGATGGCAGGGGGTGTTGAATCACGTCAGCCTGGTCTTTCCTGCTTTTTTTCTTCCTTTTTTTTTTTTTTTTCCTCATGCCACCCTCCCCTTTCTCTCATTCCTGGCCGTGTGAGTTGAGTGCACGCCTCTGCTCCCCGGAAGGTGCTGCTCACACGCAGCTCTGTTGGCATCCTGGCGAAAGCAGCCTTAAGCAAAGCACGTGCCAAGGCATTTGCCCCTTGTCTGAACGGCAGCACTCGTCTGCCACCCTTGAGAACTGGTAGTCAGAAGAGCCTGTGACTCACGGGAGGTTTTCCCCAAGAGCCTGCTCTCCAGTTTGCTCTTTGCACACAGTCACTGGTTTCCAGACAAAGTGCTTGCTTGTGCCTGCTGGCCCTCTTCTCAGTTCCCACTCGAGGGTGCTGGCGTGCAAAAGCTCCGTTTTGGTGGTGAGCACCCACCTTTGAGCAGCACCCCAGTGACCGTCAACGGGTTGGAGAACACACTTCTGCTGCCATTGTTCCAACAGCTCAGCCTGTAGGCTTGCTTTAATGACTGAAAAAATGGTTACTGTTCGGATAGAATAGCTAAATTCAGCTCTTTCTGTGTTTCACTGACATGCTCTCTTTTCTGTTCCCCGTGCCTATGAATCAATAGGTCCATAACAAAATACCCGGCTAACGGCACATTTTTATTTGGGTATAAACTAGGAGAAAATAAATGCTTAAAAATATGCTAAAAGGCAAATTAAAAAGATGAGCACTGATTCTTGCTTAAACACCACGCAGTCCTTACAGAGGCAGAGATTCCACTGAGGGCTGCGACAGGAATGCAAATGTGGTCCTTAAGCTTTCTTAAAAACAACATCAAAGCCATAATCAATGTGCTGGCTTTTGTTCTATGCACTAGGTGTTCCAGCACGGGAACAACATGATCACGTGAGCCGCGGCTATAGCAGATATTGTCCAGCCTGGGTAGCTCTGCGATTTCAGCTGGAATCGCCTTAACTAAAAAAAAAAAAACAACAAACCAGTTTCTCTGAGCTTGTAATAATTGCATGAAAATGAAACTTTGCCTATTTCCACTATGGTGAAGGAATAAACAAAACTTATAGGTGCTATACATCACCGCTACCTAGCCTGGATTTGGGTACAGACATGGCTCACCTGCAATGAGCCGCCTGCCTTCCTAGTGAGAGACCTGCAGCGCTCGCTTAGCCGCGCACCAAGGGTACCAGCACTGAGAAAGGCAGATGCTAATTCGGCTTCACATTACAGGTTTCCAGCACCTACCTGGTTTGCCTAGGTTGTTTCCTTCTGCACCTGGGAAGCACACCAGGCAGGTTGCTCTAAGGATTTTAGCCTCCCTGCACCCCTCCCAAAATGTCTCGGTTCATGCAGTGATCCAACCCCATGCGTGTTCACAAGCGCTGCTTAACTCGCATGTAGCTTAATCAGACGGAAAAAATGAATGAGCTCTATGAATTTCAACTTTTCATATGAAAAGCAAAAATAGATGCAGTGACTCAGTATTCCGAAAAATAACCTAAAGCAAATCCCTGGAACTGCCATCCCTCCCAGGCGTAGCGTGTTACTGCTCCTTGCTGTAGGCAAGGGGAAATGAAAGAATGGATCCAACACAGCGAGGAGAACCACAAACCCAGGGATGAGAATGGCTCCAGGGCTAGCTGTGTGAGAAGAGGCAGGGAAATATTAGAATGTAAAGAGTTAAGCTATGGTAAAACATACTTTTGCTACACTAAAGAAGACTGGTTGATAATTACTGTAGTTTTAGGGCTATTTGAATCAGTGCAGCTGCAACCTCTTCAGTAGTAACCCCTGAAACAAGACAAACTGGGTTTATTGTACTGAACAAGTCTTAAAGCTCCTCCCTGATTGTTAGTAATTGGCAGCAATGGACTTAACAGCCTCTTGACTACCCTTTTTACACTCTACCTGACTGTGCAGCTAACAATTTAAATCACAGATGCCGATCCTTCTTTGTGGCAGCTGCTTGTTAACTACACGTTCCTCTTTTTCTGTCACTGGCTGCTTCCATAACCCTGCAACACCAGGGTTAGATTGGAGAATCACATTTCATCAATATTTAAAATGGAATTAAACCTTGAAGTTTGATTAATGCTACCGGATAGTGAGTTGTAATTACTATTTTGCAAATTGCAATTGTTTGAATATGTTAATATGATTGTCTAAGCACATCTTCACCTTCAGAAGTAATTTTCCCTTTAAAAAAGATTTGAAAAAAATACAAACTCTTTAATCAGTGGTAAATTATCACCCTGTGCACAATTAGGTAGTATGGGGTTCTTCATCTTGTCTGCTAAATTTTATGTCAGCATATTTATCTTTAAAAGTTTACCCATTTTTTTAGATTTTCCTCAGTAGCATAAACATTCATGGAACTGACTTTGCTGAAACAGGACTAACCATGTTGATATTTGAAGGTAAAGAAAAATAGCTTTGTCTGAATATTTTATTGCAATCTGGTGTATCCCTGTTCAGTTAGTAAATGTTAACAAGTTCTTTCTTCCAAAGTTAGTGAAATACAATGATTATTATCATGACATATCATTGAAATCTTGCAACAGAGAGAGAGAGAGAGAGAGAGATCGATCTTAACGGATAAGCCGTTGGAATATATGTAAGTATTGATTGATTCTTTTGAATTATTTTCTTGTGTCTCAATCAAAAATAAGTTCCGTTTTCTAGCACCCATAACATGTATTTTTAATGTTGTGAGTCAGATCCTCAGCCAGCTCAAACTGGCATAGCTTCTCTTTTATCTTTACAATTAACTCAGGATGCTTTCATTAAGCAGGCAGAGGCATATGGAGCCACCCTGGCAGCCACCTGCACGACTGATCCCCAGAAACGGCACCTGCCCCCAGTAGCTGGGTGCAAGTCCTACTGATCTCCTGTGGGACACTGCCTACACAGTCAACAGGTCAGTCTGGATAGAGTCTTTTTGGGCAAATAAGACCCAACTATATCTGCTGGTCGTACTGTGTTCCTGTAAGTAGCCCATTTCAAAATTAGTTCTTCTCAACAAACATTCCTTTGAAAGTTTCTCCCTTGTTTCGGGTGGCTTTAGGGGAAGCTCCAAACGCCAGCAAAGCCCAAACAGGTGTCTGTCAAAAATGCAGGTGTATTCCACGGTGATCTCAAACTGCAGCCCACTTAAATCAGTGGATTTCTGCTCAGCATCTCTGCAAAAATGAAACCATTTGTCTAATTTTCAACGTTCAGTCTAAAAGTAGTGGCAGAAGGGACTTCCCCAACTCCACACTCCAGATTTCTCTCAACTGGGATTAGAAACAGCTGAAAACTCAGGGTGGGCTTGCTTCAGGGTGCTTCCAAGGGATGACTTGAAAATACACTGTAATTTAGGTGCATTTAATCTTCCTATATTAAAGGCATATTGCAAAGTTTAGAATTATTTGCTTCTAGCTATTGCACTTCTGCGTTGCTCAGACCTCAGCTGTGAGAGACTTCTTAGGACTCTGCATGCCTATGTGTCTGCCCTGACGCAGAGCGGAGCCGGCCAGCACACAGCAGTATTTTAGGCGGCTGGATTTGCTCTCTTAACGAATGCTTTCCCGGGAAATCACCTAGAGGTGGGCAGGAAGGTGTACTGCCTTGAAACTGCAACACTTAGTGGCTTATGCAGGTTAAAAAAATAAAACCCTACATTGTTCACCTTGTCTGACTCTGTGTTAGGTCTCCATA